GCTGCGGCACGGACGGCGATCAGCTATCTTAGTTCTCATCGCCACCGGATAACTATCCATGAGTTTAGGCACCCGCTCCGCCGCGGAGCTCCTCGCCGCCTTCAACGACGACGCCACGCCGGCAAGGCTCGGCTTCGGGCACTTGTAGTGAGCGTCGGGCTGGTGGTTCGACACCGAGTTTGAAAGATCTGTTTCTCTAGTCTACGTCTCTCTTCACAGGAAAATCCTGTGAAAAAAAGCGGCTGACCTCGCAGCACCAGCAGCTTCAGCAGGATAGACCGCTCCAGTACGTGGCTGGGTTCACAGCGATTGTAGGTAAATGCAGGGAACACTTGACGGTCGCGGCCTTCCGACTCGCGCCAAGTTCCGGAGTGAAAATTCGAACGCGTTCTCTCACGGTGACCACCTCAGAGGCACCTCCGGAGGCAGGCCGCCGCACGCCGGCGACACAGCTCCAGCTGTCGAACTGACCCGCAGCTCCTCTCAGAGCGGGAACTGTGACGAAAGTTGATTGAGGCAGTTGTCAGGAATCATCATACGGATCACATGGTGGCTCTCTCATGACGGGAGACCGCCCGACCACTCCTGGGTGGCACTGCCACCGGTGTCGCTCGACGTCCTGTCGACAGCGTGCCGACAGCGACACATACCATGTGGGACGCGTCGAGTATCGACCTCTACTGCTTACCCAGCCTTCGAGTGTATCCTGGCTGTGGTCCCACACCCACTGGTGTCCATCTCAGAGACCGCAGGAGGTCATGAGGGTCGATGGGAGTGCCAACCCCACAATGCCTAAAAACCCAGCCCAGTAGTTGCTTAGGCAGCCTTCAAGATCGGACCCGTCTCCAAGCGACTAGCGACTAGCGACAGGGGACGCGGCTTCACTCCACACACAGGGAGTGGGCACAAGGGAACTCACGCTCCGCGTGAGAGACAGAGACACGGTCGAAAAGCGCGCCACACCAGTCCACTCCACGCAAGGGACGCCCCCCCTCTGAGGGGAGGCGGGGGCCCTAGAGGGTATCCATGCGGGGGGGAGATGGGGCCCCATGGCCCGCCGCAGGCGCCGATTTTCTTGAGATTTCTTTCTTTTTGCGCCATTTTTTACTTGTTTTCATGGGAATTCGCCGTACTTGCGGCCATGCTATCACGCCTTGCGACAGCCTGTCGGCGCTGCTGACCGTGCCCTGCTGCACAATTGACGGTGTCCTTCCAGCGCGTGCACGCTTCTGGTGCAATGCGCGTCGCCTCGGATTGGCTGCTGGCACTCTCGAGGCTATGCCTACACAGCCTCGCGCGCATGGGCAGTCAAGAGGGACCACGCACCTTCTCAGGACAGCGCCGGTGCCTCTCTCTTGGACCGGCAAACTTGGTGGTCTCGTGTCACCAATGTGGGACCAGTGCGGCGTCGCGCCATCGACAGCTCTGAACTGCGCCTCACCACTGACCGGGAAGGCCGCCAAGTGGGCCAGCACCGGTCGCACATTGTGGCAGCAGTCAACAGTGCACGTCTGATAGCTAGAGTAGCAGCGTCAGGGTCGCAGAGTCGGATCGTGTCAAGCCTCTCGCCCGCGCGGCCGGCCGCGTGCAGACGTCGGCCTGTCTGCTGTCTGGAGTGATCTGTCGGCGGTCAGTAGCTACGACCGATCAGGTCGGAGTTTTCTCATGGTTGGAGGGTCTATCTGTATGTACTCCTCGAGATCTCTCCAAATCTGCCCTCTGATTAACCTAGCTTAGGAGCTCCCGCACGCGCGCTCGCTGGCGCGAGTCATGGGAGCAGGCGCACATCGCTTCCAGGGAGGGGGGCGCGCTTGCACGCCCCCCCCCCCCCCCTAGCCTGTGGCGAAGCCCCTGGGGGGGTTGGGACCGCCCCCCTAGTATGTCGTGAAGCCTCTGGGGGGG